GAAGCATACATTTTGCTTGTGAGGTGAGTTTAGACATTATTTATGGTACAAGGATTTTTAGTTACTACTTTTTTATCTGTGTGTTTTTTTTTTAGGTTTTAAAATTCAAAAATGGAAATTTTCACATTTATACAAAGAAATATGAAGAATAAATTATTTTAATAAACCACAGTCGCTATAAGAGAAAAGGCATGAACAGTGGACTCAGACAAATCTGATTTGAATTTGAGCTTTACAGTTTACTACCTGTGCAAGCTGGGGCAAGTTACTCAATTTCTCTTAAGTTTTGGGTTTCTAATCTGTAAATAGGTAGGAGAAAATTTACTTCCCAGTTTGTACTTAAAATTAAGTGGGATACTGAATATAGAATGATTCAATTCTGCATGTTTTCTGTAACATGTAGTAGCTTATTAATATAAGTATTATGTTAATCAATTTCATTGATTTATTGTAGTGAGATTAGATGTCTGATAAAGCCCTAACCAGTTCAAGTTTCTTGTCCTTGAGCTGTTGCCTGCCCTTACCAAATGTCACCCTTGACTACCTAATTTTACATTTAAAGGATATATATATTTTTTACATTATGGTTTTGAGCTTGTGAAAACTTGTTTTAGGATTGAGTTTTCCTTCCAGAATATCCAGAAGTCACAGTGATTTAAGCTATTTGTAATTTAGGGCTATTTGTAATAAAAATAAATATATTTACCCATCTATGGTATATTAATATATGAATCCTCAAACACTAGATAATAAATAACAAAAACAGCAAATTAAAATGACCCTCTTTACCTTTTAATAGAAAGCCTGGAATCTTAGAGAAATAGACATAAGGTAGATGACATCAGGACCAGCTAGCCTACCATGCCTCTTGGAAATTAAAGAACAAAGTTATTGCATAAATATGCAGGGATGAGGCTGGACTGTTTTTAATCTACTTTTTAAATCTCATTTACTCATTTGATTTTTTTAACTTTATAAGTGAAAATTCACAATCAAGAAGTACCAAATCAGTATTGGGAAACATTATTGATCTGTCTTAAGAAAACTCTTTTAAATAAGTATATTCAATATAAGTCCCCTTTCCAGTTTGTTTGTTTGTTTTTTTTCCTTAGAAATAATGTCAAGTGGAGATGGTCAGCAATCACAGGCTCTTACCAAGCCCTCTTTCAGTGAGGTACAAGCCTCTGCATTAGTGGAATCAGTATTTGGGTTAAAAGTTTCCAAGATCCAGCCACTTCCTAGCTATGATGACCAAAACTTTCATGTATGCATTGCAAGAACCAAAGTCACTACAGATGGCCCAAATGAATATGTCCTCAAAATAAGCAACACTGAATCTAGCAAAACTCCAGACCTGATTGAAGTGCAGAGTCATATCATCATGTTTCTGAGAGCAGCTGGATTTCCAACAGCCTCTGTGTGTCGTACCAAAGGAGACAATATAACCTCTCTCGTGTCTGTAGGTAAGAGACCACCACTGGTCATTGCCTGTCCATGTACATTACTGCATTTTGGCTACAAGTAGAAATATCAAGAACAGGTATGTCATTCCAGGAGTTAAGACGGTTATTTTGTTCAGCAGTTGGGAGAAGCTACAGCATCACCAAAGTGGAAACTGGGGCTGTGGTTAGGGCTGGGATCTGGTATAACTCTTCTGCCTGCAAAGGATCTGATGGATGAGTAACTAAGAGGATATGTGAAAACTAGGGGAACTTTTATTTTTAATTAGAAAAATAAATAGTTTTATTTATCAGATCAGCTGTGTACTTTGGTGCTGTGATACAGTAGAAAGCACACAGAATCAGGAATTTTAGAGCCCAGCTCTGTAATTATGGTATATGTGACTTAAATTCTTAAGGCTACGAGCTCTCATCTGTGAAAGTTGGTCCCTTTCAATTCTAAGTGCTAAGATGTATCTATGGAGAAGGCAATGGCAGCCCATCCAGTACTCTTGCCTGGAGAATCCCAGGGACGGGGGAGCCTGGTGGGCTGCCATCTATGGGGTCACACAGAGTCGGACTTGACTGAAGTGACTTAGCAGCAGCAGCAGCAGCAGGAGCAAGATGTATCTAATACAATTTTCCAAGCAGTAGTTTGTCCCTAAAGAAGTCTGTGATTCTGAAACAGTTATTTATTTATCACAACTTCACCCACTGCAAATTTATTAAAAATATATTTTAAGCATTCATTTATCAGAGTAGATAATTTACGTTTAGAGTTAAGGCCAGCAGACTTGGGGCTACAGTCATGTTAGGATGTAAATGGCTGGCCCCACTGTTCTGAAGTCTATCTGTTCTCCTTGCTGCCTTGATCCATTTAGTCCTGCCTCATAGAATCCTGCTGACTTGTCCTGTGTTAGCACGTTTTTATTTTTTTCTCTTGTTCTGTATTATTCCTTGCTATAATAATTGCAAAGGCAGAATAGCCTCTAATCTTTTTTTTCTCCCCAAGAATAGTTGACAGAATATATCCTTCCATCCATCTAGATAGTGGCTCTGAAGTCAAAAGCTACTTGGTGAGGCTGCTGACTTACCTCCCAGGAAGACCCATAGCTGAGATTCCCATTGGCCCTCAGCTCTTATATGAAATTGGAAAGCTAGCTGCTAAGTTGGATAAAACACTGGAGGTAAGATTTGGGATTTTATTTTGTTTATAAGAATTGTTCCTTGTTGGTTTTGATTTATTTAAAATACACCCAGGGTTAGACTCTTTTTATTTGGTGCCTCTTAACATGTATTGGGGTTGGCCAGAAAGTTTGGTTAGTGAATATGTTGTTCAATACAATTCTTGGTGAATATTGAAGATGTGTCTTTTATATATACCTAAAACTGAATTAATTTTTTTGGCCAGCCCAACCTGATATTAGGAAGACAATAAGGTACTAGATGTATGAATATTGACAGGTTTCTTTTTGCCCAGGTCTATACTTTACATGGGTTTGAGTAAACTCCGGGAGTTGGTGATGGACAGGGAGGCCTGGCGAGCTGCGATCATGGGGTCTCAAAGAGTCGGACACGACTGAGCAACTGAACTGAACTGATAATTTACTAGCTTAGTGGCAAGATTACCTACATCTTTAGAAATTCATGATATCCTCTATGCTGCTCACTAAAAACAGCCTGCATCCACAAATTAAAATCCGAAGTTATCATAAGACATAATCAGCCAGAGCTCTGTATGAAGCAATAGTTATGTTACAAATGGATTGAAATGACTTGGATTAAAAATGTTTTTGTCGTAAAGAAAAGATACCTTGTTTGACAAATATTTTTCCAAACGTACCCATAAAACATCTTCATTTAATGAATAAATGTTCACTGAGAACTCTTTCTATGCCAGGAACTGGGGGAACAATAGGGATTCCCCTGTCCTAGAGGAGTGTGTTCCAAGGGACACATAGACACTTGAAAAAGTAACCCCAGTTTGTATGAGTAAAACACTTGCAATTACTCACTGAATCCTGACCAGTCTACCTCTCAGATGTCTACAATCCATCTCCTTTCCATTCCTGCCTTGACTATCCCTCCTTGCATTCAGATCTTTTTCTCCTTCAATTTATTTTTTATACCAATCAGAGTTACTTTTTAAAATTACAGATCCGACCATGTCAGTTTCATAATTAAAATATTTCAGTGGCTTCTCACTGCTTTCAAAGTAAAGGCCAAGGTCCTCAGCGTTTCTTTCAGATAAGGCCCCGTTGGCCTTATCCCTGCCTTTGCCCCCTCAGTCTCACTGTCCGTGTCTTCCCTTTCATGCTTCTCTCACCACTAAAGTAGAACTTCTCATCATCCCCTGAATGTGCCTTTTTGTTTCATGCATCTCTGCCTTTGTTATCTTCTCAACCATTAATACCTTTTCCCCTGCTCTGCAAAATTCCTGATCATCCTTCAACACACAGCTCAGGAATCACTTCCCCTGTGAAATCTTCGCTGGTTCCTTCTTTCTCTTTTCAGGCTATACAAAGAGGATCACTTCCCACTCTTTGCTCCACCGGAACTTGTGCGTCCATCAGTTCACATGATTCTGTGGGTTGACTGACTGGGCCCCTCTGCTCTTCTTGGTGTTAATTGGGGTCACATCATGCAGCTATATTTAGCTGTGGTGCTTCAGATCCTTTCCATGTGTCCTTTTTGCTTCATGTGGTGTCTTATCCTCCAGGATGGTCTTGAGCATCCTTGCAACATGACTACTGGCTTCCGAGACAGATTTAAAAAGACAAGCCCCCAGTGGACGACTGCTTATTGAGGCTCTGCTTGAATCATGTTAGCTCACATTTCATTAGCCAAAGTAAGTGACGTGTCTAATCCCAAGTCAGAGAAGCTGCACAAGGGCATGCACACCAGGAGGCATGGTTCATAGGAGGCCACTGGGGTAACAGTCTACCGTGATGGTCTCGTAATTTAGTTGCTTGTACTTCCTGTTACATATGCTACATAAGAAACAATGATCTTCTTAAGAAATTGGTCAACATCTTAATTATTCATTTTTCATCCTTGGTGTCTGGCAGTGTCAAACACATATTAGATATTCAAGGAGAGCTTCATAACAAGTTTTTTTAATTTAAAAAAGCTTATGAGCTGGTTTTAAAAGTCTTGAACCCATCAGTCAGTCAGAGAAAAGGAGGGAGTGTATTCAGTAAAAGGAAAGAGCATACAAGAAATCATGGCAAAATAATGACCATGTTCCAGAACCTCTGAATAATTTACTGTGGCTAGAGCACAGGGTTTATACTTGAGAGAGATAGGAGCTAAAGTTGGAAACATAGGGTGGAGTCAGATTATAAAATATGTTATCATAAGGAGCTTGGACTTTGTCTTATTTTCTTGGACAGTAGGGAGACTTGGAGGATTTTTAAACAGGAAATATGATGGCTAGATTGGCAGGAAGCCAGAATGGAGGCAGGGAATGCATCTAGGGAGCTAATGCAGTAATCAAGTAAAAGTTGATTGAGGACTGGAACCAAGAAAAGTTTCAAAACATATTTAGGAGACAGAGCCAACTGAATTTGGTGACTGATTTAATGTTAAGGATGGAGGAGAGGAAAGGGCTGAGCAGGACATGGATTCTAATTGGATCTTCTGGAACGAAACTCCGTTCTGAAATAGGTGGGATTCTCCCCTTGTAGCAATGCTGGAGTCACCTTCACAGCCTGGAATAAAGGACTGGAGAGATAGGAAGGGGGAGAGTATCAGACATGGGTCTAGAAGGTGTTGAGATCTGTGGAAGTTTTTTAAGGCTTCCTGCCATACAGAAAAGCAGATCAGCCTCTATGCATTTCACATGTGCTCCATTAGTGTCTGCTGGGATCAGCTTGCCTGCTCCCATTCCTTGATTCTATCTGTTTTTCTTTTTTCTATCTGGTTGGTGCTTTAGAGAAAAGAGTAAGACAGAGCCTTTAGAAGAGTTAAGTGAGAGATGATTCAGGGCTGAGAACACTTTAACAATAAGCTTTAGGAGGGTTTTTTTAATTCTCTTTACCCCAAAAGACTTGATATTTATTGTTTTCTGGGAATGAGGGAAAAATTTCTTCACTGCTTTATAGTAAAAGTGTGTTTCTTATAGGCAGCATCTATATGAATCTTGCTTTTTTTATCCAGCCTGATAATCTGTGCTCTCTAATTGGGATGTTTAGGGCATTTACATCTAATGTGATTTTTGTGTGGTTAGGTTTAAGCCTGTCATCTTGATATCTGCTTTTTTTTTTTTTTGGTCACATCAATTCTTTATTCTTTAATTTGCTTTTTTTTTTCCTGCCTTCTTGGCTTGTGTATTTTTTATGATTTCATTTAACCTCCTTTGTTGGCTTATTAGCTATAACTGTTGACTTTAATGGTTACTTTAGGGTTTATAGAATACATCTCTGACTGATCACGGTCTCCCTTAAGTTATATCACTTCATGTGGTATATGCACCTGACACAGTATACTTCTGTTTCTTCCCTCCTGTCCTTATTCTATGGTTGTCATGCTCAGTTACTCACTCATGTCTGACTCTTTGTGGCCTTGAGGACTGTAGCCCGCCAGGCTTCTCTGTCCATGGAATTTTCCAGGCAAGAATACTGGAGTGGTGTGCCATTTCCTACCCTAGGGGGATCTTCCTGACCCAGGGATCAAACCCACCTCCCTGTGTCTCCCGCATTGGCAGGTGGATTCTTTACCACTAGCGCCACCTGGGAAGCCCTCTACCTATTGTTGTCATACTTTTTATTTATACATTGTTATTTTTGTTTAAACTTTTGATTATCTTCTAAAGAGATTTAATTAGAAAAAAATTATATATTTCCTGTGTGGTTACCTTTTACAGTGCTCCTCATACTTTTTGTCAATCCATATTATTCCCTTCTGCCTAAAAGACTTCATTTAACATTTCTTATAGTGTGGGGTTGCTGATAATGAATTTTTTCAGCTTTTGTATGTCTTTGTTTCACCTTCATTTTTGAAAGATATTTTCATTGGATATAAGCTTTCAGGTTGATTGTCTTATCCATTGTGCTTTAAACACACTCCACTACTTTCTTCTCTTGCATTGTTTCTGCCAAGAAATCCGCTGTCAGATTGTTCCTCTGAGTTTAATGTGTATGTCATCTGTTTGTGTGTGTGTGTGTCTTAAGATTGTCTCTATCTCTACTTTTGAGCAATTTGATCATGATGTGTCTTGATATAGTTTTGGTTATGTTTTTTGTGCTTGGTGTTCATTGAGCTTCCTTGAGTGGTGCAGTTAAGTCACTTGGAAGCAGTTTGGTGATTTTGTGTCTTAATACTTCATACTTTGTGTCTTAATATATCTAAGCTGACTGTGGCTCAGATCGTGAACTCCTTATTGCCAAATTCAGACTTAAATAGAAGAAAGTAGGGAAAACCACTAGACCATTCAGGTATGACCTAAATCAAGTCCCTTATGATTATACAGTGAAAGTGACAAATAGATTCAAGGGATTAGATCTGATAGAGTGCCTGAAGAACTATGGATGGAGGTTCGTGACATTGTACAAGAGGCAGTGATCAAGACCATCCCCAAGAAAAAAAAACGCAAAATAGCAAAATGGTTGTCTGAGGAGTCCTTACAAATAGCTGAGAAAAGAAAAGT